TAATTTTTGAAGGGGTGACAGTTTTGGAATTGGAAGATCGGCAAATATCTATATGTGCAACATTGAGTTGTCCCCCCCCCATACCCCTAGGTAATACCAATGTTCACTTTGAGCATTTTGTGCTCTTTGATCAAATATTTGTAAATATGTTAATGAGACCAATTTGCAATTAAATGACATACACTCTTTGATAATAATGACAAGAGTTCTCAACCTTTACAATTGTGAGATGTCTCCATTACATGCATAAAGAATTAAATGAAAAAAGTGTTTATTTCCTAAATGGTACAAATCATGTGTTTATTATTATTATTATATTATGTAACGGTTGTAATTTCACATCCGTTAATATTAAAGATTTTCTACACATAAAATGACTATATTAATAATTAAAAAAGTTAACTAAAAAATATATATATATATTATATTAATTATTAAAATATACAAATTCCCCGTTTATTTAAAATTAATCCTCTAAAAAAAAATTATCAATATATTGTTTTTTTTTAACTTGTAGTATTCTGTTCAGTTGTTGTATCTTTATTTTTTTCTTTTATTTTACTTAAAGCAACTTGTATAGCCGCTAACCATGCAACTTGTGTTTCATCATTTGGTGCACAACATACATAAGTTCTTCTAGGTGTAATAACTTTGAAACAATATAATTTTGATTTAGAAATTGGTTCTATTTCAATTGCATCAAGGACGTCAATCAGATTTATACTCAAATGAGGTTTGAGATCCTATAATATTGATATGAAAGTATAATCAATTAATCGTTAAATCAAATACAAATGAAAACAATTGTTGTAATTATTTTATATTTTGTACTTACTTTTTTATCTTTATAATAAACCAATTTATTATTTTTCAATTCAAACCATCTTTTTTTCCAAATTTTCTAAATAAATAAATATAATACGTATAATTATATAAATGTGTTGTAATTTACACACGTATATAATGTACATATCTATATGTAAACACACATGAAAATTTTAAATACCTTGTATCTATCCAATTTATAAAGATATCCTTGATGAATTATTCGGGACTTCTCACCTCCTTCATTATTTTCATCATTTTCATCATTAGTTGCATCCATGACATCATTTTCTTCCTCAGAAGTAGCTGTTCTATCACTACTATTTTGTCTTTTAGGAGGAGAATTCGTTGCAAATGGACTTGATGGTGATGATGATGCATTTGGAACAGAACCTCCCGAAGTATAGGATGAAGCAGAAACATAGGAATGTGGTCCTTCTACATTATCGAATGTTTGTTGTTGTTGTTGTTGCTTTTTTTGTAAATTTGGGATGTCGATTGCTGTTGTTTTTTCTGCAGAAGATAAAGGCAATTGTTTATCTAAGGCCGGTGATTGTGAGGAAGGCATTTGAATTTTTTTCATCTCTCTTTTTGACAATGATGGAGATCTTTTTAATTCTCTTGATGCTTCTTCACTATCTGCTTGACTTCCTTCATCTAATAATTCTTCATCTTGTACTTCTTTTTTAACCTTATTTATTGCTTCAACCCATTCATCAAGCATTTTTTTACTTTCTGCTTGAACATAATATGTACGTTTAGGAGTGACAATTCCAAATACATTTTGTTTATTTTTTAAATTTACTTCTGTCACAGCATGAACGTCATGCATATCTAAACTTCTCAAAAGTTCATACTCCTAATAAATAAATAAATAAATAAATAAATAAATAATAAAAATATTAATATGTGAAATATTTGTTGTCGTTATTGTTATTAATATTTAATAAATCACATGATTAATTAGTTACCTTTTCACTTTTATAATATGCCAATTTAGTTGACCTTAAAACAAACCATCTTCTTTTCCAATTCTAATAATTATAATTATAATTATCATTATATTTTTTATTTCAAGCTTGTATGAAAAACATTGTGATAATTTTAAAACAGTTAATTTAATTTTAATTACTTTTTTCTGGACTTTTCTTTTCCCTCGTTTTTTAGCAAGATAACCCGCTTTTATTAATTTCTCATGTTGTAATGTTTCTCGTGCTTCTAAATTTTTTGCTTTGTCTTCAGGTTCAGTTTCATCTCCTTGTCTCTGGACCGAATTATGATTGATAAACTCTATTTCTGAATCCGAGGTGTCAGAAAATAGTGCGTCTTTGTTATTCTTTTGGGAAATAAAAAAAAAAAAAATCAATATTTTTGAAACATAATGTAAAATAAATATCATATTTTTTTGAATATAATACCTTTTGAGTTGGATCAATGTTGTCTTCGTTATTGCTATAATCATCATCGATGTTGTTGTCGTCATTTTTGAAATCGTTCTTTTGTGATAAAATTTCAACATGTGTGTCCATTGTGGTATAATTTTTTACTTTAAAGGCTGGTAAATCGTTAATATAATATTTCATAAATAATATAAAATGTTGTTATAATAGTAAATACCTGAAATAGGGTTTAGTACTTGGACAGAAGATGGAGAATCGGTCATGCCTGTGTTAACAAACTCGACAAATAGTATATGTTTAAAGTTTATTATTATTATATATATATACAAAAAAAAAACTCTTGCTGTGAAAAATTCTTGTAATGTAAAATTAAAATGTAAAATTAAAATAATTAAAATGTAAAATTTAAATATAAAATTAAATAATAAAAAAAGAATAAGTATATAGGTAAGAAAGAATGAATCAAAGTGAATTTAATTTAATTTAATTTAATTTAATAGTAAAATGTTACTTGTAACACAATAAGGGAAATCGTGCGTATCGAAAAAATATTGATCCACACAACTTTTACTAGTTTTTTTCCTTGCATATTGGAGAACTATTGGCGTTTATTAATTATTTTTTTTTTGATTTATAATTTAAAGTTGTAATGGGCAAGCATTAGACCACTAGCTAATATTCTACTAGGTTTGTATTAAAAATCTTGCAATGTTGCAACATTATAAAATTATGGCATAGACAAATTGAAGAATTCATTGATCTCAGTGGATAAAAATAGCTCATATAAAGTAAAGTCAAGTTTGTAATAAAAGAGTGGTCCACCAAAATTAGCCGAGTTCTCTGAACATAAAGTGTCTCATTACCAACTTGCTTTAATTTTTCTATGCAAAATCAGCATTCATAAGCTGTTCTTATTTGTGAACAACTCGCGGCAGGAAGTTACTTCAGAAAAAAAGATGATGATTATATTATATTTGATTTTTACTAATTCCGTCAGGATCAATAGGAGTTTTGGGAAAGTGGGACAGTTGTTTTTTATTTTGGTGGATTCAATCGCTACTTCCTGTTAAGGGATTTAATGGCTATTTATCAAAGAAAGGTAAAAAAGGTCGCTCTTGGATTTATGCTTATATAACTTTCTAATTGTTTGCGCAATCTTTTGTGATATGAATGAATCTACTCTTTCAAATAAATTTTTGTAGCATCTGTGAAATAAAAACATAAAGCTCTATTTCACTAGGTATAACTATTCAAGTTGGCGTCTGCAATTGTTTCGCGATCTTTCCATTAAAAATTATTAATTAATGACAAATAAGATGAAAAAGTAAAACATATGGTTTATTTTATCTATATTTTTAATGTTTTATTTTTCTAGTAAATAATATAATATTAATAAAATCTATATTGTAAAATTATTATAAAATTAGCACTCTTTTTATATCCAAAATTCAATCATCGTCATTCATATCTTTGTCGTCTTCATCATTTTCATCATCATTTTTATTTTCATCATCATTTTTATTTTCATCATCATTTTTATTTTCATTATCATTTTTATTTTCATTATTAACATCATCATCTATAGCCATAGCTTCTTTATCCATTTTGGCCTTTTGTTCTTTTGCATATTGCAGTTGTTCTTGCATCATTTGGTATACATATTCTCCAATATGTGTGACATCCAATATTGTAAAAGGATCACTATAATCAGTAACCTTGAAAAAAAAAATATATATTATTATATAATATTATATAAATATTTAGTAAACAAGATAATAAAAAATCAGGAAAAATAAAATTTACTTACATCTCTATCAGAAGGGAACATCTCATTAACTTTAATTTGTAATGTATCGGGTCTTTCCAACAATTTATTCAATGTTGGTGTCAACTCGTAACAATTTTCAAATAGTTTTTTTCTACAAAATACATATAGTCCTAATCTTGCACGTGAAAATGCTACAATTAATCGTCTGACATCTCGAATGTGACCAACTGATTTTGTACGAACCAAAGATAATAAAATATCTATTTTACACAAATATATATGTATAAGCAATTAAACACGTAAATTTAAAAAAGTGATCAAGAATAGTAGTATTAAATGTAAACAATTTATTATTAACTTACAATCATTCTGTTGACCTTGATATTTATCAACTGTTGTAACTTTAGCTGGTTTACCAAATAATGGATTCCAGGAACATCTTTGATTTAATACATCTCTTATCAAAGCCTTTTGTCCATTATAAGTTGTTAAAATTGTTATTTTATTTGCCGGGTACCTATTATTATAATATAATTAATAATAGGAAATGGTGATAATTTTGGTAATGATAATTTAAAGATTTATCTAAAAAATTGTTTTGTTTGTTTGTTTGTTTATTCATTACCCTAATAATCTCATATATTGATATACTGCTACAATATATTCTGCTTCACCAAGGTTCTAAAATAAATGATAAATTTGTATTTTGAATAAAAAAAATTAATAATAGTTTAATTAAAAAAATATATATATTTTTTTACCTGATAAAAATATGGAACTGGCTCCGTTTCACCTTTATTTTGATAATTTTCTACATTTATTAATTGATAATCATATATTAATCTAATTTCAATATCATATTGATATAGTTAGAACAATCGAATATATATGATTAAATATTCAATAAAAATAATCTTTAAACAAAATTTTTTATTTACCCTGCATTAGCCAATTGATATTCTTTTTGATCAATCACAACTGATAAATTTCCTAAATTTGTATATTTCCAATTATATAATTGAGCAATAGATGGTCTTGAACGTCCCTAGTAAATGTAATTATAAAGATAAAAAAAGAAAAAGTTTGTTTTCAAATTTTTTTATTAAGAAAGGAGGAAATATATTTTAATAAGTGAATGAATTAAATACTTGAGCATCAAGATCAATAGTTGGAACTCCAAGTCTAACAAATCTAGTGAATAAACTTTGTTCCATGTTACCATATTGTTGAAATGCCATATTTTTAACAACAGGTGGCAATTGATTATGATCTCCAATCAGTATCACCCTTTTCAATCTACTTATACCATCTTCGGTTTCTTGTAATAACAGTGGGATAAAAGTTTCAACTTCCAATATTTGTGCTGCTTCTTCCATTATTATATTATCATATTTAAATCGTAAAGAAACTAATTCACGTCTCTACATATCATTGTTTTTTTTTTTTAATAAATTTAATTAATAATAATAATAATGATATGTTTTTCAATATAAAACAAAAGAAATTACTTTAAGTGCAGCATGAGTACAAGTCATTGCAATAATTTTAGCTTCTTTAGTTAACAAATAATTAGCTCGATCATAACTGGTTCTCAATAGTTCAAATCCACGAATTTCCTCAATCTCTGTGAAAATTTTTTCGATATGCCTGAAACAACCTTCAGCTATCTCCAGTGTTTCAGCATAACTCGCATCATTGGGAAATAAAGGTTGTGGTGCATCATAAAAATAGTTGGTAAAGGGAAACTGATTGATTATGATTGATTTTTTGTCAACAGAAACATTGCCGTCATCACTCTTTTCTTCTAATCCTTGTCTACACTTGTCTATATATGGTTCCCATCTTGATAATACATGATATAAATAAAAATATCCTGCTGTCTCGCATGTATAACCATGTTCACCACCAATTTCCAATGATTCTGCTAGTCTACTTACTTCAGCCAACAACGCAAGTCGTTTTTCCTAACATATCATAAAACATATATAAATCAATAAATAATAATATATTTTTTTTTTGGGGGGAGAAATAGTAGTTATTACCTACCAAAAACGAATTAACTCTACCATATTTACTAAAACTTAACTCTGTGTTAAGTTCTTCCTCACCATGACCCAAACGTAATAAATGACGCTCATCAACATCTAGATCAATATCATTAATTCAAGATGATAACTCAATATCCAAATTTGTAAATTATATAACGGATATGGATTTTTAAAAGACTTGTTATTACCTAATGCCATAATTTTTTCAAATAATTGATTTAATGCCTGATTACTATGAGTGACCAATAATGTATGCTGATCAGGAAAATTATGATATATATTTGCTATAATCTGAACTGTCACATCAGTTTTACCAGTACCCGGAGGTCCAACTACTAATGTAAGACCTGGATTTGTACCTGCCTTTATGGCCTCCACTATTTAAAAAAAAGAATTAAAATACAAGATTGGATGGTATACAATTAATCAACTATATAATATATTTACCTTGTGCAGGAGTAAACCTGATTAAATTTTTTTTTGGTTGATTAAATGGATAAGGTCCCATATTTGGCAAACTGTAAGTTTTTACAGTTATTTGATTTTGATTTGAAGAATCTTTTACACTATCAGCATCTTTTCTCTTTAAAGATTTTACATTATTTTGAGGTTCAGGAAATTGAAGTACATAAGGTGGTGGTATAGGTTCTTTGTATCCATCTGCAGGCACAATTTTCTAAACAAATCAATATAGTGAGTGAGTGAGTGAGTGAGCGGGCGAGGGGGAAAAAAAGCAAATTAAGTTCCAAATTTCCAAATTTTAAATTACTTACCATTCCTGGAAAACTTTCAATCAAATGATCATAATCCAAGAAAGTATCACGGAAATCAATTTCTTTTGGTAGATTTGGCATCATAGTGTAATGAGCACTACCTGGATGACCGTAACCTAAAAATATATTATGCAACCAATCCGGAACAACTAGTTCGCTTTGCATTAAATCACGAATAGTTTCAAGAACAGCTTTAAAATTATTTTCCTATAATTACAAAAAAAAAGTAAAATGAGTAAATAATTTTTATCTTATTTTATTATTCTAGAATAACTTTCAGGAAAATAAATAAATACCTTTGGTTTCCTTCTCATTAAAATATTAAAAGTTTCATATACATCCTCTTGCTTTTTATTAGAGAAACGGTCCATGTCGAACTATTAATAATAATATTAAAATATTAATGATGAAGACAAAATAATGATAATGACAATAGTAAAAAAAAAGTAGAATGATAATAAAGGAAATTTAGCTATCTATTCATAGTTACTAAAAAAAAAAACCAAAATTATTACTTTATATTGGTTTGTGTCCAGTAATATACGAAGTGTCCTTAAGTTTCCAGATATTTTAGGTCTTTTATCCTCTATACGTGGTTTACCTACTTCATCAATAGGTTTACCTATTAATTTATACATGAGACAAAAGGTTAGAAAATTTTATTTAGATATTATTTGAAACTATTAAATTTAATTACCATCATCTCCAATAATATCACTAACTTCACAACCTCTTACATATTTCAATCCAAAATGTGATCTATTATATATATAGATGTAATAATTTTAATTTTAAAAATTTATTCAAAAAATTCAATAATAGAATTTTTTAAAATTACTAATTAACTAACCTGAATGGCATATCATCGTGATACTTTTCACCAGTATCATCATTTGCTTGAATGGTTAATAAAAATAATACATCATGTTGTTTCAAAGAATCCCATTCATTTTTGATAGATTCTGTGTATCTACCAAGATTAAATGTTACCTATATTTTATGACCACATATATAATATTATGAGTAAATTTAATTGTAAAGTATTTGTTTTTTTTTTTTTTAAGAAAAATATTTAATAATTAAAAATTAATAATATTTACATCTGCTTTAACTTGAGCAGGTTTATTTTCACCAATATCTGGTTTTGCAACACTAACTATACTATATACAAGTGAAACAAATTTTCTTATTAATAATACAAAAAAGAATAATAAATTTAGTTTTTTTTTTTTTTTGCTCACCTAATATTTTCAATTTCAACAGCCATACGGGCCCAACCAGTAAATTCAGTTTTACCAGTAGGATAAATTATTCTTGGTGCTAATCTTTTCACAGCATCTTCAATATCTTGTCTAATCTCATAAGTACTTTCCAAACGAAATAAATTAAAGTTTCTTAATAAATAATCATGTATTGTAAGAAATTGTAAATTAAGTTTTGGTAATGCTAATGGTGTTTCACCAGAGAAAAATTGTGTTTTAACAACAGCATCATCAAAAAGTGAATTCTAAAAAAAAAAAATGGTATAAAAAAATTTATATATAAGTATATGAATATATAATGTATAACAATAAAAGATTTCAAATTACTTCATCAGGATATAACGGCATAGCATTTATTGCATCAATTTGACTCATTCTCTTTTCAAATTTTTCAATGAGAGCCTCCATCAAAAATACTTTGTCATATAAACCATTATCACTACTATCATCATCCTCCCCACCTCCTTCTTTGCCAATTAATTTTTTTGTTCGAATATGAAGAAATCCACATAACCTAATTATTTCATCATGACTCAATGCATTAAAATGCTTTAATAAACTTTCACGCGTCTCAATAGCAGAAAGATTTGAGAGTGCTAGAGATAAAAGCGAATCTTTAAAATGTTTAAATGCAATTCGCTATTTAAAAAAGATTATTAATTTATTAATTTATTAATTAACCGTTTTTTAAAAAAAAAATTAATATTAAATAATAAATTAAATTATACCTGTAAGGCAGTTAATTTTTGACAATGTATCTCGGTAAGTTGATCATAAGTTAATGCAGAGCCAGTATGGTCATTAATCTCAAAACCAGCATAAAATTTTAAAATTTCTAAAAGTTGTTTAAAAAGTTCACATCCTTCCTGACGTTTCAGCAAAGGAGATAATTTACACAGCACTAAAATTTGATGATCATTTAATAAAGTATTAAAATATCTTCTTGTTGGTAATTGTGCCTCTAGATCAATTAAAAATTCCAGGAATCTTTCACAATAAGCAATTGCATCAGGATCAGCTAATTTAATTGGTAAGAAAAAATTATAATTATGATCAATATTATTGTACTGTAAACGTATATAAAGTACATATGTATCAAAAGAATAATAATATTATCATCACCTATAGAAGGTATTGAATACAATATTTTTATAAATCCTTTCATCAAATTACTAATCCAAGTTCTTTCAAATATGAGTTTTTCTTTTTGTATATTATCTATATTAGATTTTTTAATAAATAAATAAATATTTTTTTAATATAAAAATTATTCACAATAATAATGATAATTAAAAAAAAAATATTTTTTTCGTTCACAATATATATATTATACCAACCAAAAAAAAATATATCTTTGAATACCTGCTTTGGTATATTTTTTTATTAAATAATTCCATGCTTTTTTAAGTTCTTTATTTGATTCGAATTCATGCTCTCTTAATGATGGTGGATCTAGACAATGCCATGTTGGAAGTGACACTAATCTACAAAATTATTTTTAAAAAAATAATAATATAAATATATGTAGATATAGATATTGATATAACTTTTATTGTTAAAAATTATATAATGAATTTACTTGATAGTTTCTCCTCTAATCAAAGGATTTTCAATACTTTGAAAAGCATGAATAAAGAAAATCAAAATATGTTTTCTTATTTTAAGGCTTAAATTATTTAAATCTGGGGAAACTGCCAGTTTAAGAACTTGAGTAAACCAATTTGAAAAATGTTCAGGTAATGATTCAAAACAATCTATAAAATAATAGTAATGATAGATAATCACTTTGTTAACAAATGATTTATAATAATAAGTATTCATCATCATCATCATTATTATTACCCCATGCAGATACACTTTGTCTAAATTTTTCATTAACCATTAAAACGATTGACAAGACATGAGTCAATGTTGAATTGTTGTTGTCAAAATATGGCCATAAATACTAAGTTTAATTCAAATTAAAAATTATTAAACTATTTCAAAAATATATATGCATATAAATAATTTCAAAATAAAAAAACGCATACATTTTCCAAATATTGGCTGAACTCTAATAACATTAATTTTTTAACATCAAAATTATTTTCTTCCAATTCTTCGGAATAAATTTTATCTACTACTTCTGGTGACCATTTTCTGAGTTTGACATCTCTATTCCTCCAATACTTGTCAGCTAAAGCTGATACTGAGTCAGATTGGATTTGACTAAGTGTAGGATGGTATTGTATTCTTGTACTTTCTGTTGGAGGGGCATGTGGTGGTAGAGTTGTCACGCGTTTATCAGGCATTTTTTATTGTTTTTATTTTAGAAAAAAGATCTAAATATATATATCAATTTTTTGTACAAAATTTATTTCATATATATATGTGATTTACATGTTCGTGTAACATCCAAGAAACACTATTTGAAAAAAGTCGACAAAGACGAAATCGTAGATTTAATTGAAGTATAATTTTTAGCATTTCCGGTTGATGATTCTCCAATTTCAAATATATCCCAAGTGTTGTCGAATATATTTCTAATAACAACGCACATTATTATAGCACTGGAAGAAGCAGCATATTTTAATTTACAACTACACAATTGGTCATCAGGTTTTTCTGTATCATACAATTTAAAACTAAGATTAGGAAAATGTCCAATATTAGGAGCATTCCACGATGACAATATAAAATATAATTTCGTTATTTCTGGTGGTAAATCAGCTAAATTTGCTTTTATACAATGGTGGCCTTTTTATATTGTATCGCAAAAAAAAAAAAAATCATAAGCAATAATAATTGATAAATGATGATAATTGATAATTAATCATATTAATTGTGTACCTGTTAAAGTTGCAAAATTCAATTTATCACCCGAATGAAATATATTTGGAATATGGTTATGTGATTTATTAACCCAATCAACTCTTTCATAGAAAAAATTGTCTCGATACAAAAGACAAGTTCCATCCAAATAATCCTTTTCACCATCAGGAAATCCCCAATGCAAATCAAATGTCAAGCTTTTAAATGATTGACCTTTTGTGATTGAATAGAGTAATACTATTAATTGTAGATGACTCTCTTCAACAATATCATAATCGGCTAATGCAACTTCAGTAACTTCACATTGATTCACAGTATAATTCTATTATTATTATTATTGTTGTTGTTGTTCTTATTATTATTATTATAAGGAAACAATTGAAATGAACAAATTGTAATTGTGATTGATTACCTTTAATTCATTGCCATTATAAAGTAATTTTTGTTTGCTAATTTCCAAATTTGTTTCTGATTTAATTGCTCGCTTAAGGCCAATAACAGTTTTGATTTTTTCCAAGCTTAATGTGATTACAGTTCCATTCATCATTACAACATAGAAATATCCACCACCACTTTGATTATTTGATGGGTTATTTAATGTTGAAATACCGTCAACTTTAATCATAAAAGATGCGTTTTCCCAATTTGAATTTAATCTTTTAATTCCTTTTTGATTTAGTAGAGCTTTACACTCTGGGCATTTATTTGTTTTTGTGGCATTTAAATAAGTTACCACACACTTCAAGCAAAAACCAGGAATGTGCTTACAATCACCACTAATAACATCCTTGGGAAATTCTCTTGATAATTTATTAATGTTACAATTTTTGCATTTCATGATAGGAATTTAGGCTTTCACAAATGGGAATTCCATATTTATAAATTCATTTACCTTATAAAAAATATAAAAAATTTTTCCTTATTATTATTATAGTTGTTTCGATTGCTATAACGATCTAACTAATAACTTTTATAAGACCAAAGTTTATATACAGTGTGTATGTAATTTTATTAAACAAATTGGAATACAAAAACCCGTCAAAAGAAAATTTATTCGAAATTTAGATTATAACAATATTAATATTGTATTCTAATTTCGTATATAAAAACTAACCATTTACAATTCTTTTGTCAAAACTAATTTCTTTGACAGCTATTTTCTATCATTATAGCACAATGAGGATTACAAAAAAAATCAGTATTCTTAATTATCAATACATAACTTGATTTTATTAGTATTCAGAATTTTAGTTCGAATCTTGTCAGCTTTTTCATCACAAACTATATCGTCGTGAACTTGACTTTTTATCAGTTTCATTGACAGCTTGAATAGTTTTAATAATCACAGTTTGGTTTTTGTCAGTTTCATTGTCAGCGTTTTCATTACAAACTATATCGTCGTAAACTTGGTTTTTATTAGTTTCATTGTCAGCTTTTTCATCACGAACTATATTGTCGTGGATTTGGTTTTTGTCAGTTTCATTGTCAGCTTGAATAGTTTCAATAATTACAGTTTGGCCTTTATCAGTTTCATCAATACTACCATTTTGATAATTAATGTTAATTCTAGCTGCTTGTCTATTTCTGAGTAATCGCGTTCTTTTCTTGGCTTTGTAGAGTTTTATTCCACAATAATAACAATAACCAAGTATTACTAATATTCCAAAACCAATAATAAAATACACCACTATGTAAAGTTTGGGAGGTGGATTTTTAAAAGGAGTAAATAGAGTTTGACTAGGTTCAGGTGGACTAGGTTCAGGTTGAGGTTGAGCTGGAGGTGGAGGTTGAGGTTGATGTGTATTATTAGGTTTAGGTGGTGGTGGTTCAGGTTCAGGTTTAGGCTTAGGTTTAGGTTCAGGTGTAGGTGCCGGATTATTAGGTTTAGGTGATGTTGGTTGATTAGGTATCGGTTCAGGTGTCGGTGCATTAGGGTCGGGTTTTGGTGCATTAGGGTCGGGCTTTGGTGCATTAGGGTCAGGTTTTGGTGCATTAGGGTCAGGTTTTGGTGCATTAGGGTCAGGTGTCGGTGCATTAGGGTCGGGTGTCGGTGCATTAGGGTCAGGTGTCGGTGCATTAGGGTCAGGTGTCGGTTCAGGTTCAGGATTAGGTTCAGGCGGAGGTGGAGATGGAGATATAGTTGTATTAGATGGAGGTGGAGGTGGAGGTGAAGGATCAGGTGGAGGAGTTGGAATAGTTGTAGGTTGTTCAATTGTTGGTGTTGGTCCTATTGTCAACTGTGATTTTACTGATTGGTTTCAAGTGATAATAAAAAGTAAAATAATAAATTTCTCATATATATATATATATAAGTGTTTTCTATTAATAAGATTATTATTATACCTGGATTTATCAGCGAAAACAATATTAACATTAATAATAAAAAACAGGAAAATATCCATTTTCTTTGTTTCTGGGAAACTGGTAAATAATAATAATTCATTATTGTTTGAAAAAATTTTTTTTTTGAAAAAGTCAATTTTTATCATTGAATTAACTAATTAGTCAAATTCATTTTATCAAGACTTTTCGGGAATGAAAGTTACAATTTTTCGTGTTCCATTATCAATAATTCTTTCAAATTTGAAATTCCCGCGTGAGTGAGGAGAGTAACGGTATAGGCAAAAATAATCGATTTTTATATTAGATTTAAAAACAAAACAAAAATTTATTTACGTTCATAGAAATTATAAAGAACAAAAAAAACTACAAAAGGAAAAGAAAAATGTGTAAAACCTTAAGTTTAATATAGTGTTTAGAATTGAAGAGTGTTGGTTGGGAACTGAACAAGTGATAACCAGCACTCACAGCAACATAACTGGCTTGTTAGCTCGCGTCATATTCACTCACATTCATATTGGCAAAAAAAATCAATTATATTTTTCTTCTATTTTATAAATAAATAGAGGAAAATATTATATTATCTTTTGTAGAAACCAACAAGAAAAAAAAATGAACGAGTTGGCCATATTATTCTAGTGTCTCCAAAAAAGGTTTCTAATTATGAACAATTGAAACATGATATATCAAGTGTCATCTTGAGTTTAAATTTATATGCGCGAAATTAAATCGGGAATTTCGTATCCTACTGAAGATTGTGTCATATCTAAGATTATTAACATCAGATAGTATTTATATATACAAATAGTCAAGGAAATTGAAAAATGAAAAAGATTAGGTAGACTGTAGAATAGAATTGCAAATATGCAAACACTTTAATAGAATTTGTAAATATTATAATTACAAAATCTATTAACTTATAATCATCATACATAATTGATGATTTTATTTTATTCGACAATATAATGATTTCATCTCTTCCAAATCATATGACCAATTAAGTGTACAGTTCAATTTGTACTGCCCGTGGACAAGAGACATATATGTGATTATGATGGAAACAAAAAGCATTTTATTTATTTTGGAGTACCTTCTCATCCATCCATCAAATATTCATGATGGTCATGATTATTATGCAATACATTTGATATCATCATTGATATAACAAATAATTGTATCACCCAGGTAGTAATGATACCAAGGCCATATAGAAATGAAACTCTTAACAATGCAAGTCTACCCGGATCCCTGGGCTCACAAGAATAAATAAATGGAGAGGATCAAAAAATTATTTTTCCTGTCACAAACACGCAAATACCCTTTATAACCATGGGAATTTTTTCCTAAGGGTAAAGTCCATCACATGTTGGAAGGCTTTGGACAAAACTTCCCCTTATCCTTCCCTCAGACCAGGTTTGCTTGCCGTTACCATATAGGCATTGATTGCTGATAGCCGGTGCCTGTGTGGATGATTGTGTTATACCTCTCCAGTATAAAGTTGGCATCTGCAACTGATTCAAAATTCTTCAACTCAGGAGGTTGCAACCTGGGTTATTGTTTTGGATTTTCCCTGAATTCAGAGTTTTGAGTCCTGGATTGCTGCCTTGTTGGTGGCATGCCAACTTACCAACAACCCTACCCCCAATTTAAATAACAAGTTCAGTTGGTCAAATAAAAATTAAGGAGAAACAGAAAATTTATGAAAATGATTAATTTATGCATAACATATCAAACAAAATCTAAATCATTTTATTTTACACTTTCTCCTTGATGGCAGTGATCATGGTGACTGTCACAATAAGAGTGTGCAGAGTCGAACTGCCATCTTTATATTTGTGAGATACATGCTCTCGTTGAGCTACACTCCTTTATCTTAGTGTAGATTATATGGGCAAGAGCCCCATTTAAAAAACAACAAGTTCAGTTGGTCAAATAAAAATTTAAAGAGAAACAGAAAATTTATGGGAATGATTAATTTATAACATAATGTACCAAAATTCAAACCATTTTATTGACTTTTTTCTTGTTGGCCATATTGTTGACAAAAATGTATATAAACATGTGATAATTTTAATCTACAGGACAGAGGACTGATTAGACAAAAACCCATTCAGCCTCCTACCAAAATTATAAATTGGTTATTATTAAAGAAACAAGGAATTTAGGAAAATGATTATACAAAATAAACATTATTTTACAACTTTCCTCTTAACATCAGAGAGCTTGAAACAAGTTGCAGATTCTCTTAATATTCCTCCAGAATTGCAACTTGGTTGCAGAGACATTCTTATCTAGAGGTAGGATTGTTGCAGGCAACTTTTTGGCTAGCATGCCAGCAGCCTTCTCTGGTCTGAGTGCTGTGAAGATTAGTGAAAGTGTCGTTGATGATTGATGCAGTCTCAATAAACTCCAGGGCAAAGCGACCCCCCTGGATTTCAACATCATCATATCATCGGGGGATGCAAGTCAGATTAACCTTGTGTACGTGAGGAAGACGTGAGAATGACTGTAAAGTGTTCAAGGCAGCATGAGTGCTTCAACGTCTGCTAATTTCCGATAATCAAACATCGCATATCAAAATGTTTCTTCTGCAACAGTCGATCGTGCTGCCTTGATATCTTGTAATTATAATATTAATATTATAAATATATATTAACAATGATTACAGAAAGAAAAATAAATACCAATCGTTTGTTGTTGATAAGGATCTTATAATCACCCAGCGAGATCTGCTCCGCGTTTTGATTCCAATTAAAATATTTATAAACTAAAATAAAAATATCAAAAATAGTAACTCTCGTTAGTTATTAACACGTCTTCAGACGAGAGCCAAACCATATCATATCAAACAACAACACTCGCGTTTTGTCATTGAAAAATAAGATTGCTTTGTTGTTTTCCAAGGAAAAAAAAAAATTAATTCACGTCTCCCCAAAAAAAAATCAATTCGCATCAACCAATAGGATAAATAATTAATGTGTACACGTCGATCAAATCAATAATCTTTTTAAAAAAAAATATAAAAGAAAAAAAGAAAATAATAAGAAGCAAAATGAGTAAGGATGGTGGTGGTTATCGTCACTCGTCGTCACTCAAAAATTCTAAGAGAAGTAAAGAAAATGAACCAAGAGAAAGACGCGAGTAAGTGCTTATCAAAAGAATGGTGGTGGTACTCTAGTTTTAATATTCAAAATAAATTATTTTTAATTATAAATAAATTTTTTTCATTTAGTGTCTCATCTCAGCAAAAAATAAGTTTGCCATTTGAAGAAGATTATAAATCATTATATTCATGCACACTTGTCAACAGACAATGGCACAGTGTAAATAGGAATATTTTATGGAGAAATCCATTTTATTCGTATAACAAGCATTAAAATATTAATTAATTGCTTATTGGAAGAAGATAAAGATTATCAGGAACCCGGAAACTCATATCAGACGTTCCGGAAAAATTGGGCAAATTTTATAGTCTTTTTACTCAGCCTATCATCTATTAACTTTACCTTGTCATTAATAGGAACTTTTTTTTTGTCATATGTTTTTTACCCTTCTATTAGTCGGGACCTTTTTTTTAAATTACAATTATATTATTTATTTATTCAATTAATCATCCTTGTTATTAGAAATAGAAACTAAATGTGAATGTGTTTCATCTGTATTAAAAAATAAATGAATAAATATCTAATGAATCTTGATCAAGTGTAAGGAGAGAATTTGAGTGAAATATAAAGGGAATGCTAATACCAAAATAATATACTATTTCTTTTAGTTTTAAATGTGCATACAATTTACCTCCTGCCTTACATTCATTTGAAAATAATGTGTCTCCATATATATTAATGAATAATGAAACTGAGATATAAGATAATGAATCAAGATCATCAATACTTTCTGAAACAAAACCATGTTTCCCGCCTATCAATTGATACATTGCAAGAACCTTTGATATACATAAAATTCCATCAGTACACACAAGCAAGTAACATCCTTTTCTAATTGATAGGCTTTAGAAACATTTAGCACAGCATATATCAGTGACTAAAAAGAATATATTTACAAGTAAATAAAATTTCAAAGTAAAAATTAGACTAATTTTAATTTTATCAAAAATTTAAAAAATTACTGAATATGCACGCGTCTTTATTTTATGTTTCAATCAATATATTTTTGATTAATTAGCCGTGAAAAATATTTATGTCTGCACAATTTTATTTCCTTGGGACACATATAAGGTTTTCCATCAAGTGGAAGTTCATTGTATTCATCATTACTGCATTCATCTAAGTTATCATTATGTTCATTGGATTCATCATCATCTGTATCATTAATTTCATCAAAGTAATGTTTTTTATGAGTATTGTCAGCAATTAAAGGGAAATTAAGAGTTCTCTGCTGCAGTTGATTTATTGTATTAGAAGGCACAGTTTCTTTATTACGGTCTAGATTTATTTTTACCCTTTTTGTGGCTTGAACCAAAATGCATAATAGATATTATAGGGAAATCAAAGGTCGTTTGCATACATTTTTGTTGTGAGAAATCAATCATATGGAACATTTTATAAATTATTAATAAGTTTACCCACATACCAGCCGGGAGGCAAAAAAAACTTTACCCTGTAAAAACTTGAACATTTTTTAAGGTACCATTAATTTTACCTATAGCTTAGCCGGCAACTTTTGGAAATTTTTTATATAAACTTTACCTAGGGGGACATCTAATATAAGTTTCCGGGGTCCTGGATTATCTAACAGGAATTAAATTTACTTTTAAACTATTGGAGAAACCACCATTATACAACTATGCCAGATTTTGCACTATAATTTCCATCAGTTATGGTCTTAGAAATTTGATATAAATTCCTTTACAAAATAAATTAATAAACTTTATTTTAGATCATTCAGTAGGTATTGTGAGGTCAAAATCCGTATCTCACACAAGTTACTAGGTTTAGTTAGAATATATTATTTTATTATATTTTACGGCAGTATCCAAATATTGAATTATGCTTTCTTTTATTTTATAGCAGTAATAACACTCAAGTTATTAATTCGTTATGGGGCAAGTTTTACTTCCCTTCCGGTAACGTTTTCTCAGCAGTCCTTTGTTAACTGCCTGAGCCGGCACGTCTCAATAATTATATTTATGGCTCAGTTTCTTAACTGGCCGTACCTAGCTAGGGTTTTCACTTCTTAGGCGTTGGCCTAATCTAAATAAATATAAAGAAATAAAATTAAAAGAAAATACACACACACTATACTTATCAAAGGCGTCCCCCTGGTAAGATAGTATTTAAATAATCAGTTAGGTAAGTCTTAGAGCAAAAGGTTTATTTGGTTTTGGAAGTGGGTGGATTATTCCACTGGCAGTGGTTTTGATTAGAAAGTATTTTATGTTCGTGTTTTATTAAGATATTATTGTTATTACAAGATAAAGATGAAAGTTAGCATTAACTGAAGATTACATGAAAAAGAAATTTACAACGTATTTATACATGTTAAAGGTTCTATCATCTAGTTCTCCGATTTCTTTGAAATCTTAATTTATACTATTAATATATTCTTAAATCTTCCGTGTAGAATTATTTTCAAGTCAATGTGAGTCATGTAAAATTCTTTTGTTTAAATATCATTCTGAGATTTGGTAATCCGTTACACTTTAAAATGTTGAAATATTTATATCTCCAATATTTGGGAGTAAGGAAAATAATTTTTTAACCAAAATCACGTGAAAACTTGTTTTTAAAAAATTTTATTGCGAACGAATCACGAAATCACAATTTTTTGAATGAGCGCGTGGCGCAGCAATAGGAGATCTTTAGACCGAGCCAACCATATATCCTTAATAAAACAAAAATGACTTAACTATTTAATCATTTCTTTGTATGTGAATACCTCCATCCATCAAATATTCATGATGGTCATGATTATTATGCAATACAATTGATATCATCATTGACATAACAAACAATTGCATCTCCCAGGTAGTAATGATACCAAGGCCATGTAGAAATGAAACTCTTAACAATGCAAGACTACTCAGATCTCTGGGCTTACAAGAATAAATAAATGGGGAGGATCAAAAAATTATTTTCCTTCCCGTTGTATGGTTTTTTATGAATAATAAGTCTGATGTTGATCACATGTGTCAGATTTAATTAAAATTTCCTGTCACAAACATGCAATGCGGTGCTCTTAACACGCCTCATAACTATGGAATTTTTTTTCCACAGGGAGGTTTCACACATGTTGGAAGGCTTTGAACAAAACTTTCCCTATCTTCCCTTCAGACCAGGCTTGCTGTCACCGTATGAGCATTGATTGCTGATGAGAGTTGACATTTGTGTGATGATTGCTTTGTGTTATACCTCTAGAATAAAGCCAGTGTCTGCAACTGGTTCAAAATTCTCCAACTGATGATGCTGCAACCAGGGTCATTGTTTTGGATTTTCCCTGAATTCAAAATTTTGAGTCCTAGGTTGCTGTCTTGTTGGTGGCATGCCAACTTACCAACAATCCTACCCCCAATTTAAATAACAAGCTCAGTTGGTCAAACAAAAATTAGGAAAACAGAAAATTCGGGATGATTAATTTATATGTAACATACCTAAAGCACCTCGCAAGCCAGCTTGAGAGCTGGCTCATGTGGAGCCTTAAATATACCAAAATTTGAACCAATTTATAACTTTTTTCTTGTTGGCCATATTGCTGACAAAGATGTATATAATCATGCAATAATTTTAATCTATAGGACAGAAGACTGGTTGGGAAAAAACCCATCCAGTCCCCTACCCAAAATTATTAAATTGGTTAGTATCAAAAAAACAGTGAATTTATGAAAATGATTATACAAAACAAACATTATTTTACTACTTTCCTCTTAACATCAGAGCCCAAATGCAATTTCAGGGCTACCAACCCTCCTCTGAATTGTAACCTCCTGGTGCTTGAAAACAAGTTGCAGATTTTCGTTGCTTTGATAGATCTGGATATTTACATGGCACTACAATTCATCAGCAGAGTTGCGACTTGGTCACAGTGTCATCCTTCCCTAGAGGTAGGAACTTTGCAGACAACTTTTCAGCTAGCATGCCAGCAGCCATCTCTGGTCTGGGAAGATTAGTGAAAACGTCATTGACGATTGATGCAGTCTCGGTAAATTTCAGGACCATGTGATCCCCCCCTGGAATTCTGTAGCATCGTTGTATCATTGGGGAAATCTTGGTCAGATTAGCCTTGTGTACATGAGGAAGATGTGAGAATGACTGTAAAGTGTTCAAGGTAGCGTGCATGCTTCAATATCTCTAAAAATTTCCGATAATCAAATGTTGCATATTTGAATTGTTTCTTCTGCAACAGTCAGTCATGCTGTCTTGACGTCTTCTTATAATTATAGTATTATAATTATATGTTAATAAAGCAAAATACCAATCGTTCGTTGTTGATAAGGATCTTATAATTATCCCAGCAATGATCTGTGTTTTGATTTTCAATTAAAATGTTTATATAAAATAAAAGACACCACATTATATCAATACAAATAAAAAATAGTACCTCTGGTTAGTTATTAACACTTTGTCTTTAGGAGATTCGGTATTTTATTAATTATTATCACTATGTAAATAATTATAATATCAATATTTATTGATCAAGTTATTGTATTGATCAACAAAAATTTCATTAAAGATAACTTCTGTCCTCGCAGAGGATAATTAACATTCTAATAAAATAAAACTTTGATAGAATCATTATTTTTATTAAATAAAATTAATCGTTAAACAAAAATATTTCCTTTGTTTAAAGCACCTTGATAAAAGCAACAAGTGTAGTCAATGTCTTGGTAAAAGGTAACAATCGTGGAGCTTTGGTATAAAGCCACATTTATTTGCTTAGTGAACAAGCAAGCAAGGTTAGGATTAATGTTGGTTACCTGGTGAGTGTTAATGAAGCATCGTTCAAAGGTATAATTGGAAATACTGGTAGCGTTATTGTAATCGTAAACGTAAGGTTGTTAAACAAGCTACTTGGGTTGTTTTTCAAGTAAACCAAAGCGAGTCAATAAATGCAAACGAATAAATCGATCACAAGTGAATAAAAGGAACTTTATAGAAGCTCTCGAGTTTTGTAAAAGACCATATTTATTTATTTACAGTTATCTGGTATCATTAGGTGTGCCCACAGTTTTGTCTAAGTGCAAGAAAGAGGAAACCAAAGTAAATTGTAAACTAATTAATTGACAAGCACCGAATTACTTGCAATTAACTGCCAAGAGTAGTCAAAAGTTAAGCCATAATTGTTAACCACAATTTAACAAGAATCAAAAAGTTTATTCTTTCAAAACATTATTATAATTTAGCTTTAAAAAAGATAAAATAAAAAGACAAATAATTATAACAAATAATTTATAGTGGAGATTAAATTAGTCATTCATCGATTCCTTCTTT